AATGATACATTTTTCCTATCACCTCATGCATTTGAAACCCCGTCACAAATTTCCAAGCACCACATGCATTTGAACCCCCCCTCCGTCCCACATTTTCACATTTAAAGTAATTAATCACACATCATGAAAGGTTTTATAACTTATATAATATTTTTAATAAGCAATTAATGGATAGTCTACTATAAAAATGTCATTCTCTTTCAGTAGACACACAAATACAAATCACATACAAAATTCACAAAGAAAACTAGTTTAAAGGTTTTGTGTTGGTTTGAGGGTTTTGTACCATTTTTCGAGCCATGTTATTATGTTAAAGTTTTTAATTTGTAAGTTTGTTATATACTAATTCATTTTTTTATATATTTTTCTTGGTTTAAGTATTCTTTTAAGCCAATCATTATATGTTGTAGTTGAAACTTTAATGTAAATTAGAGTAGATTGATATTCTCGATCATATGTTATGGAAAATGATATAGATAATATTTAATTAAATATTCTATATATGTTTGTATGTTTGTGTGCTTCAAAGTAATAATTAATAAAAAATCATGGATATGCAAAATTATCCATAGTATCCATGTAAGTCTCTTTAAAATGTAAATTGTCTATCTTATCATTTTATATTTTAGTATATGTTTAAGAGTATAATTATAATAATAAGTGTCTTTTAAAAGTTTTCTTTCGTTTGTTATTAATAATAAGTGGTATTAAAACTAATGATCCATAATTATAAATAATAAAAATCATGGATATGTCATAGTATCCATGCAAGTCTCTTTTGAAATGCAAATTGTCTATCTTATCAGTTTATTATTTAGTGTATGTTTCACATTTTAATAGTAATATTAAGTGTTTTTCTAAAAGTCTTCTTTAACTTATTAATAATAATAAAGGGTATAAAACTAAAGAACAACAATTTTAAATGATAATAACATCAATTTATAAATTACATAACGTTAACAACAAATAAATTGTATTTTAAATTAACATCATTATTGAAATTAGAAAATAATCGCATAAGTAAAAATTTAAATTAATCAATCATAACAAATGTGAAAAATAATATTAAATAGATAATTATATTTAATTTTTTTAATGAGGAAGGTGGTTGATGTCCATGAATAATATTGTTCAAAATATTATTTCAAAGTTAATGTCAATAACATAACAATTTTAAACATATAGTTTTCAACATTTTAACAATACATTTTTAACCTACGCTGCGCAACACACGATAATTCGTCTAGTATACTTATAAAGGAAGCATTTTTCCTTTCACCACATTCATTTGAAACTCCCATGACTTTTCAATTTCTTTGTAATAATGATTATAAGTTGGTTAATAAGGTTAAATAAATATCAAACCTAAAGTGTAATCATATATAAATTAAATTTCAATATTAAAAAAATATCTTTACTTCTACTTATAAAATTATGTTTTTTAACTTTTAACATATTATACTTAATTTGTTAGTTTTAATATATTGTGGATGTAATCCATTATCATTTTAAAGCTACAACTTTTGAATAATTTGTATAAAATACTTAAATTATTAATTTAAATATAACATTACAGGGTCAACTTAAATATAAATTTTAGTTTAATTTAAACAACCCAAAGAATATTTTGTAAGTAGTTAAAAGTGATAAATTGTAGTGTCTTTATAATAATGATTATAAGTTGGTTAATAAGGTTAAATAAATATCAAACCTAAAGTGTAATCATAAATAAACTAAATTTCAATATTAAAATAATATCATTACTTGTACTTATAAAGCTATGTCTTTAACTTTTAACATATTATACTTAATTTATTAGATTTAATATGTTGTTGTATGTAAACCATTATGAGTTTAAAGTACAACTTTTGAATAGTTTGGACAAAATACTTAAATTGTTAATTTAAATATAAAATTACAGTGTTAACTAAAATATAAATTTGAGTTCCACTTAAAAAACTCAATGAATATTTTGTGAATAGTTAAAAGTGATAAATTGTTGTGCTAAATGCAAAAACTAAATTGTAATCTCAATTTAACTAAAATATTTCCTAAATGTATTTTTATAATCGTTAAAAGTTTTCAAATAGGTAGCTTGAAATAACTTACAATAACAATAGTTAAAAATAACTCTATATAAATGATTATATTTTTACCTTTAAAATCAAA